GTATAATAGTATAACTAAAGCGTTTATTCTGGCCGGAAGTGGAAAATAAGAGAGGACAGTAAAGTTTTAAAATAACATAAACGTTAGTAAAACTTAAGATACTTATAAGTCTAGTAAACAAGTTTGATAAAAAATCTATCTTTTTAAAACCAATAGTAGGCACCATCCACAACGGTCTTGACGTTTTATGCGGCTTAAAAATAAGACACAGAAGCGTCCAAACAAGAATAACGGTAGGTATTACAGTTTTTTTCCTAACGGTAGAAGGCGTGGTCCCGTGAAATTCTTTGAGATTGATAGTAAGGATGTACGAAGAAAACAAATGAACATCACCCACTATTTCAGCCAGAGCAATTTGTTAGATTAGAGGAAAGTGCTGATGTTTTCTGCAAGAGTTTTGAGAATGGTCATGAAAGGGTAAATTTACTTTCAATAAAGTGAATGCCTAATGGATGTTTCACAATTTGACCGTTTGACTGAGTTCCAGAAGTATGTCGTATGGCTACGTATGAAGTAATACACCACACACATAAGGATAACTTGTTATTACAAGTAGTCACCGGCGACGAGATGTGCTGTCATCATTTTGAGTCGTTGTTAAGTCGTCAGTCTCTCCAGCCGTAAAATTCAGAGACCCCGTCCACGCAGAAATACAAGTAAATCACACATATGTGTGGAAGATAATTTTGAGATTCTGCTTTGATCGGTAGGACTCCTATCAACTTCATAAAATGTAGCGTCACAGTGAATGGATAACGTTATGGAAAGTAAAGCATAAAAGCATTTATGTTGATAGTAACCTCGGATAATCTTAAAACGTACTGCACAATTTCACGCCTTTTAGCTTAGTTGCTGATGGATTGCTGCTAGGAGTACAGCCATCGACATTAAGAAGGCATTTTCGTTGAGCCATATTTGCTAGTAATAAGCAAAACGTAAAAAGACCAGATCACCAAGAACCCAGAAATGGTCTTACCCTGATCAAGAATAGTTGAAAAGTGTTGAGAGCACCAAGTCTTTCGCCCGATAACGAAAAATCACCAAGATACCAAAATTTTCAAACAACAAAATAAAATTTTTTAGCCAAATCAGTTAAAAAAAACCCTTTACTCAAACGCGGCCAGCAATCCCAGAAGCTGAAATTAGACACAGCCAGCGCCAAACCCGTTGACCTTTTCGCGTAACCAAACATTAACCCTTGTTCTCCACTGAAGGAGAATCATGCACGTAAGACACCACGCAAGATAAGAAACAAAAAAGCAACGTTCGAGAACATTCTACTGCTTTCCCGTAATTTGAAAATGGCGTAGAAAAAATCTTGGCAACCTTCCTGATTTTACACACACGAACTATTTCCTTATTTTAACAATTTTCCAATTAACAAGCAAAAAATAGCATTGAAGTACTGGATTTCAGATACTAATTTAGTGAAATAAAAATTCCCTATTAAATCGAAGAATAAAGAAAAAAATTACACTAGAATAATTCTAGTTTTTAATTATTACAATTACTCTAATTAATTCTCTTACCGATAAATTCAGACATTTTACTGTATAACAAAACTGTCAAAGTTCACGTTACAGTAACTGACATATATTTAAGCTGTAATATGTAATTATTATTTCTTACTTCTCTTTGATTTTTATCAAATATACATTATCTTACAAAAAAATGTAGCAAATATCATTCAAAGAAAGCGTTTGGTGAATGGATTAAAGCAATAATAGCGATAATATGGGGGAAGAAATAAGTAAATATAAAATAAATGTATTATATAACTATGTAGAAATTTGAGGCGATGTTTCGAGATTAAAAAGTTTTACATTTAAAACCTCGATTTATTTTACTATTGTATTATTTTTCTCATATATTTCAGGTTCATTTAGATAATTTTATCTGCGCTAATAGGACAAAGCTGAATTTCCATTATGCATTTATTAATGAAATGAAACTATTGGAACTGCAAAGAAATTATTGACTTTTGATGATCACACAGACTTGCAGGTGCAAACCCGAATAGGAGCTTATAGATATCATTCTGAGCGATATCATTCTATGTGAGTTTGTTAATTATTAATCTGTAATAAATATGTACCCACATAATGGTAAAAAGTGTTTTAGTAAAAAAATCTTTTTAATAATTTCTGTATCATTTCCTTTCTTTATCCGTTTCTTCTTTATAATAAAGAATTTCATTTTAGTATTTTAAAATGTTGTACTGTAAAGATCCTAAGTTTTACTAACGTTTATTTTATTTTAAATCTTTACTATCACTTCTTATTTTCTACTTCCGGCCAGAATTAAAAGCTTTAACTTATTTATGTTGCCAAGCAAGAGAGAGGAAGGAGTTATTAGAAGCAAGCCGCTTGCCATAGTAGTTTTACTCGGTTGCTGGTTGCCTTCAAGGCCAGAGGTTTAGTCCTCTTGATAATTTCAAACGTATCTTAGTTTTAGCAGCTCTCTGTACTACATACGGATTTTGTTAAATAACGGTCAATCTTAAAGTTAGGCACTTGTATATTAATCCAAAGTTAGTTTTAGTTAGAGGTTTAGTTAGTATTTTTTATATTCTTACGTTCAGACCACAAGTGGTTGATCTCTGTATTCCGAAGTTCCAGAAATCTCTGTAAAGATAGAAAAATAAAGTGTTTCGTATACCCTTCCTGTGTGTATTGTCTACTTCACAATTTATTGAACATAGCTTGAGTAAGCTCCCTGTTCCGAGTCAGGACAGTTCATGTTTCCAAAGCAAGTCAAGAGGAACACAAGTCCTGATAGTACAGTCATTAGGTTTTTTACTGGATGCTGGAGCCGTGAAAAACGTGCAGTGCCCTCGCCGGGACTCGAACCTGGACTTCTCGAATATGCGCAGAGTGTGCTACAATTACACCACGAAGGTATGCTGAAACGAGAGAGAAAAACCTTATATACTCACCCTTTTAAAGGGTTACTGGGGAATAAGGGGACTCAATCGCCAAATAAATAGGGGTGACGATTTATTTTCCATCACCTTTAAATTCTGGCGCCATTGTAGAGTCATTAGGTTATTTTTGGATGCTGGAGAGGGGAAAAATGTGCAGTGCCCTCGCTGGGACTAGAACCTGGACCTCTTGAATACGTGGAGAGAGAGAGTTACACTACAAAGGCACACACATAATAAGGTATTCTCTCCCTCTTTCCAGTATGCCTTTGTAGTGTAACATTGTAGCTTAACATCATTTAGTTAACATGATTAAATGTTAACCAAATGATTACTAAAATGATGTAAGTATGAATTAAAACATATATTAATCATAATTTTCATCATTAATTTAATTAATATCTTATGTCCTTTTCTCTGCTGCTAGAGTGTCTTTCTTTTCATGGCTCAAACATTGTTATAAAGAAATGAAAATGTACAAATATAATTACAGAAGAACGGTGAGAAAATAAACACTTTTTTGCTTTTGGTACTGAATCAGCACACCAATGCGGCACTAAATAATTAAATTTTCAAGGTCAAAATTAGATATATACTAAAAGTGAGACAATACTGAATCAAAATTAGATATATACTGACAATAAAACAATATATATACTGAGAATAAAGGTTGATTTGGCTTTGTCGTTGTCATCAGAAAACAGCTGGAAAGCTATTGAAATAAACCTCTCAACCACATTTCTGATGGTCTAGCTATGGCTAATAGCTTTGCATAATAAATATATCGTATCTACTTAATTAAGTTTAGAAATCATACTTAATTAAGCGAAAAGGAGTAACAATCAATTACATTAGTGCAAATTATCCGAAGTCTTGTGTAAGAAATGCGTGATAAAAACATTCGAGTATGCAGATGGGAAACAAAATGATAATATTATAAAAAAGTCCTTTCCCCAAAAAAGAAACGTAAAAGCTGTGTAAAAATATTTGCGCAAGTGGTAAAATCATAAATATTCAAGATAATCCTATTTCTAGTTAATATTAACATACGTTAAAGCTTCTGAGAATTTCCGAAATTACTTACATTATTCAAGTTCGATTTAACATTATATTTCAGAAGATACGTCTGTTATATTATTTGTAGCACCAGAGACCGTATTTTAATAGGCGTTTTTTCTTTAATTTCACTTCTACAGTGTTTCAACAAATCTGTTACAAACTTTCAGGAGAGATATAGTACACCTGGAGAAGGGAAAACACATAACATTGCATGGTTGGAAGTGATTTCCTGGAGCGATAGTGACGACACAAAACACAAGGAAGGACACGAACGTGCTTGTTATGGTTTCAGCATGATGTAGCCCTTTCACATTACAGCCTTGATGGGCGTCTCCGCCTGAATGCAATGTATCCTCAATATTGGATCGGCAGAGGTGGTCTGGTGCGTTGGTCAGCAAGATCGCCAGACATCACGTGCTTGACTACTTCTTCTGGGGATGCATCAAGATACCTGTTAACATAACCCGTTAACAGCGCTGAAGAATTTTTTGCACGCATCGTGGCAGCTGTTGGAACGGGCCATCAGTCCTGGCTGTCAGTCAGTCCGGCACACGCCCGGTATTTTCCAAAGCATCAGATCTCCCATGAGCCGGAGATGTGTACTTAATCTCCCCTGAAAGTTTGTAACCGATTTGATGAAACACCTGTGTATATTCCTAAATTATTTATACACATATAAAGAATGTGTACGGCCTGATGAAGTTTAGTTGCCTAAAGATTCATATTCCAGTCCAGATTCATATTCCAGTCCAAGCTTTAAATTTTAATAGAATTGTAAACTACTAAACAATTCACCAGCATATAATTTTGAAACTGCATGTATACTAGCTTGATATTTCTAAGTCGCTGAATATATAAAACTATGTTGTAAAAACGTTTGAGAGAATAAAGAATGCATTTAAATAATAACTGATTTTATTTTAACCTGAAAATAAATATTATGCAACAGATCACGATTTCATACTCCTTCAACAAAACAAAGTATTCTGTTAAGATGGCTCTAGAAAACTGTCGATTTTACCAATAATTGCAGATTCTGTTCTCTTTTAGTTAGACATCTTGAGGCAAACACACTCGCTTCTTTCTGTACCGTAGTACCTTTACCAATATCTAAGAAACACATGAAAATGAAAATAGAATCAGCGAATTCTACAATGAATTAATTATAGAAAGAATTTCAAAATAAACTTATACAGAAATTCATACCATGTGTAAATACAACCAGTATTGGTAACGTGATAAGTGGAACTCAAAAGACTGAGTAGCTGATTTTGCCAGCATCAAAAGTAATTGCATCAGTGTTCAATTTTTATCTGGCACTAAGGTTATATCAATATTATATAAGAATTCATATAATCTTAGTGCACTAAGATTATATTAATGAATCGATATAATCTTAGTGCCTTATATGAAGATTATATAAAATTAAGTAATTAAATTGATAATAATCTTAGTGCCTTAATATTGATTATATTAATGAATAGATTTATTTACTGATTACACTTGGAAATATGAACAAGTGAATAACATAAAATCAAGCAAAATTGAATTATGAGTAATATGGTTGTCTAATTAGGATTGATAAATTTCCATTTTAGCATTTCAGACTTTAAACTTGGTGATTTTAAACTTTTTATTACGTGCAATTCATTATTTTACATGTTATGCAGTAGTTAACAGTATATTAATAAATAAACACTGTAGCCAACTTTCGAATACATATAATTATAATTTTCATTCATTAATATAACATTTTAAAGATTTGATGTTCACTAATTTGCCTTTCGTGCAGAGTGTTGTATATTAAAACTTTGTCCATTTAATAAAATTCCGAACACGTTCAAGTTATATAGTGAGTTCTATGATTATAATTTGCGTTTATTGTCTTCAAGTTTCAACGCAACTTTTAGGTCGTAGTACATATATAATCAATAGATAATAATTAAATCAAAATTAGATCAGGAAGGAATTTATAACAATAAGTACACACATGAAGCATAAATACCTGAATAAAATAGTATAACATAATTTATTTATTTTACAAATGCCAAACATTAGCACCTAAGCCATCAGTTCACGAGTTCTCCAGTACGTTTTAACAATGTCCTTACACCGAGAATATGCAGCACAAATTTTCAAATGTTCAAAAATCATAGGTGGATCGGAGTCACACAAAACACAGTTTGGGGAATTCATCACTCCAATTCTGCAGAGATGGTCTCGCAAACAGTCAGTCATGTCCAGAATGTCTAAATAGAGCCACCGCTCTCTTTTTCAGAAAACTGAGAATGGTTCCTCCAGAATCCTCCATCTCTTATCCATAAACACGTTGAATCATATCCTGTTTAAGAATTATCTTAAGAGTCAGGTTAACAAACAATTTAGTCGTATGAAAAGAAAATGGGCGATTAATTCGTTGATTTATCAAAGTTCCTTAGCCAATATATCACCTTTTTCGTTGCCCATAATTAGACAGTAGGTTGGAATCCATTGGAAAAAAATTCTGTTCTCTTTCAGACTGTAGGCCTTGACTATTCAGAAGGCTTTAAAGCGCACTTTTGGAATCTGACAATATGACTGCCATTATAAGAGTGGCTACGAATCGACAGTTGTAATATTATTTATTATTTGCGTATTATTCCGTTGACCGTTAAACTGTCGCCAAGCAGCGCGATTTAGCACACGTTATGTTCTAATGGGACGTACCAACCCACTGGTAATATCTGCACTTTCGTTTTCGTTTGACGTAACCCCGACTGATTCTTGATAAGCCGCGTTTTGTTTTTTATGAACTAAGATATAAATAAAAACTGTCACTGCTGTAGTTTTAGTTTCATTTTGAAACAAAATTAAGATTTGAGATCTACCTTTTTCAGGACAGAAAACGTAGATTATTTTCAAAGTTATGTGGTTCTACCATAAAAAGGATATGGTTGTAGTGGATGCGATATGGTGAGCTGAATATGGCCGACTAAACGGAACAAAACTGGAAAAATTACCTTCGAGAAGTTCGTACTCCTAGAGTCCTGAACAAAGCTTTCGGTCAAATTGGATTGCCTAACAGACAGTGGAAATTGACGAAAGATTTTTTTCCCAAGTGGGTCTAAAACCAATTTTTATTAAATAAGGAAGAATCACTTTCGCGAAACTTCCTCGAGAACGACTGGTACGATTTAGATGGAATCTCCGTTAACTTTCGTGGCTTGATAGTTGCCAATTTGCACCTTCGACGAAATAATACATATGCACCTAAAATTGATGCAAACATATAAAATTACTGAAAATGCCTTGGTCTTTTTCAAGGAGCAGCCGAAGAATTTCCAACGAAGCCACATCTCTGAAATACACCTAGATGACTGTAACTTCTTGAAATAATTGAAAATGAAAATTAAAAGAAAGTGTCAATTAATTTTAATTTAATTAAAATTAAAAAAGCATTCATGTATTATCCCGTTGACCGGTTATGTGATGATATTTATAGCTAATTATGGATGACTGTGTGCTTTAGAATTCCGCAGTAACGATTACTGATTGATGACCGTTCCTGATATTTCCACCAACGGTCGACAGAATAATACTACTCGATACTAAAGATATAATCTACTCGAAGTGAAGCCTAAAATAAATAATTCCAGATATTAACATTATAAATATACAGGCCATGATTGTTTGCCCGCATGCTTGCATTGGCTTGGGTTTTGTGACTCTCCCTCATGTCCTCTGTGCGCACAACATCAATTTTTTTATTCTACTCATCTCGACTGGTGCTCTGCACATGTGTTTTTAAACTGTAAAGCTCAGCAATATTGGAAGGCTAGAGATCTAATGGCGTCATAGCTAATCTTCTGGGCAACTATGTAATAAATAAGTAAACGTTATAAATATTATAAGACGAATTCTCAAGTAAAAAACCAGAAAACCCATTAGATAACTAAACGAAATTTTATAAATGAATATATCTCCAACCAAAGAATAAGTAGACAGAATGTTTTATGGTTATTGTTCTAAAACATTTATAAATCAATAATTCATATTTATTGCTCTAAAAAACTTTATAAAATCAAAAGGAACATGGTGAAGAAATGTGAAATATTTTAAGGAAACTAATTTATTAAAAAACGTTTTAATAATAGCTCTAGAAATGTTTGTTGGATATTATTATTAATATTAAATATTATTTATTTAATAATTTTAATATATATATATCCTTATCATTTAAATTTTATTTTACCATCAACTAAATGAACTTTCATAGTCTGAGTGACCGACTAGAGGTTAAATTCTGACTGTCTACTAAGTGGTAGGCACTTCAGATGGTTTTAATTGAATCATTGGGAAATAATTTGATAAGATTCAAATAAGCTAGAAGTTATAAATTCTTCTGATCTTGTCAGAGTTATACTGTCTCATAAGTCTGTCATCCACATCTATTTAAAAATCAAATGTGATTAACTGATCAACTATGACAGAACTCTAATCCCACCCAGACGTGATTAGATTGGATTATTTGGACGACAGCAAAACAAACGAGGGCTGAGGATTACCTTCCCCGAAGACTAGCTCGTATTTATATTACATATAAGAAAACCACGAAAATTCTCATGCAGCCATCCTTGCGTTGGGATTTGAACGCCAATCAATTATCCCGGCTGAGACGCTGATGGGTGTTTGCTAAAACGTATTACGTCTTTATGGAGCCCTTTGTAGGGAATGTGGCAAACAATTGCGTTATATTTAAAATGACTTGCAAAATATCCCTGCAAACAGACCTTTCAGTCACAGAGAACTAAAAGCAAGATAAATTACTAATTTTGGTAGCCTTAAGCCATGATGGGCTGTAAGAGAAGGTTGAAGAGAAGCAGGGATATAAATAGGTAGTTAATGCTAACAATGATAGCAAGCAAGAGAAGCATGGATATGAATGTGTAATCAATGATAACAATGATAGCAAAACTTTCATCCATGTTAATTATTAGTAACAAAGTACATTAATTCATACACTATCAAGAAGTTATTACAACTTCGAATTTTCACTAAGAGAATATTTTCATACACGAGTGCATTTCAGAGTTTGTTCACATTTCTACAAAACTATACAAAAATAAAATATTCTACACAAATAACATATTCTACACGATACAAAAATAAAAGTGTTTTTTTTTTTGGTAAGTAAATGGAAAATCGATAATTAAATAGAAACTAAATAGACACCTAAATAGAAAGAAATCTTTGAAAATGAAATTTAAAAATTATTTAATCTTTGAAATACGTATCCAGAAATCAGGTAATTCTGAAAATCTTCTTAGTGTAGAAATATGTCTTATGCTAGTCATCTTCACGTTGTGTAAATAAAACGTATTGTGAGTGAAGATCATTACGCTGATTATGAATTAATTGCATAGCATAGTTCTGGCGTAGAGAAGAAATTATAAAAAGCAATATTATGTTTTATAACAGCTGCCTTTGCCAAGATGAATGAAAACGTCAATTAAAGAATTGTATTAAATAACTTCATTTAATGCATCTAGTGAAATTTAACTTCAACAGTCCTATGCTTTCATGAAAATGTATGTACAGTAAACTAATACACTATCACTAATCCACTAATGGATAAACAGTTAGATGATTTTACTTCAAAGTGTAGAGTTAAATTTCATCAAGCTTTTTTATTAAGGAAGTCAATTTATTGCAATAAAACAATATACCAAACATCGCGACTGAATTCTGTTCATCTAGAAATATATAGTATTAAAACTAATGGCTAATTCAGTGTAAAAAGACAATTAAGTATGTAAATGTAATTAAGTATGTATATTTGACGCTTCAGTACTATTTTGAAACTTTCCTAAATTTCAAAATCCGTGCCAATTTGTTAAAAAAGAAGCTGAATTTGGTGAACAAAACTTCAGATTTAAAATTTTGTCATTTATCGATATCGTTCTTGCAGAACATATAAAAGCAGTTGTATCTTTTCCATAAAAAGTTGAAGTTCGGGGATTGGAGAACTTTCTTGTCACTGAAACTCTAGGAATGCTCAATATAGTTTTCTTGATTCTTAAATAATGAAAAAATATTTTTGGGGTCTAATCTGTTCGTTAACTGTCTAAGAAATGGGAACTAAGAATGAGGAAAGAAGGACAAACCATTAGCGATTATAGCGAACCAAATGGTAACCATTGTTTTAGATAAACAGGACATTATATCATAACCTCATCACTAAAATCATACTTTTATAAAGCTAGACAGTATAATACTATTATTGATCTCATAAGAATTCGGGTTAGAGTATAAATTCTCGATTGTGTTTCTTACCTGGGTTTCAATAGTAATAAGTTGCAACTGATTAGTAAAAAGAATTTATGGTTGTTGTCTTTAAGCAAGGAAAAAAAGGATTTAGATCGTTTGGAAATTTCAGTTTGATATGTTTTTCTGATATATTTTTAGGAATAAAATAGTTAAACTAAAAATATGAAAATCATACTTACCCTACACAACAACCAGAGGCATAAGAATAAACACTGTATAAACCTGATATACTTATATTGTGATGCCTCTTCGATATTCTCGATTGGAAGACTGAAATAGATAATGATTTTAAGCAAATATTAAGCAAATGCAGAACTGCTGCGGTATTCATATTGGAGGATAACAACGCGCGCAGAATATGTATACTCAAGTTTTGATTGGTAGCAGGTGAATCCGAGATAAATACTCGTGGATTGTTTGCTTTTTTATCAGGTGTTTCGTTAAGATTACAAATAAAAATAACAATTGAATTCCAGAAATTTAATTGTAACTAGACTTTCCTACTTCTAAATTTGTTTCCTGAAAAGCTGTAACTTCGAATATTACGCAGAGAAACCAATAAAGCAGACGCTAATTTAAGTTTACCTCTTCTTTCTTTCTCTTTTCTTCAGCAAATATAGAACTCTAATAAACACATTTGGTATAGATTTTAACTGTAACTATATATACTAACCATGTTTCCAAATTAAATATTAAAACGTTTAGCTACTAAAAAAAGGTTTCAAAATTTTATTAAACAATAATGTATTAATAAACTTCCAGTGAGTTAAAACATTATCTTTTATCGTGAGAAACTGGCATTTTTAATAACTTATAATATCAAATTAATTTTTGCTTGCGCTTCACAAAGCGGTATATTGCTTGAATCTTAGAAATATTATTACTTTTTGTAATATCCCAGCTAAATAAAAGTTCTTTAGATGATAAAATACTGAAGAACTAAGTAGCGACTATTCGCTGAGTTCTTGTGTTTAAGTAACAATCCGGCGACAGTGTTGCCTTTGTATGCCCCAGTAAAGTATTACTAGCATAGCAGTAGTGATCATATGTAAAGTTATTGAAGTTTTGGTTGAATCTCATCCTAAGAAACAAAGAGGCATCCTAAGGAGCAAGGGGGGCCAACTAGTGATAAGTTGAGATGCTCTGGGATATATCAGTTATCACAAGCTAATCTGATTCTTCAGCACATGATAATTATCACAATTAATATAGCATGTCAATTATCACAATTAATATAGCATATCGGTTATCACAATATAATCTAAAATAAGCACCCTTAGATGAAGAAACAACCAGAAATATTTTTCATGGTCTTTGTTTTTATTTATTTATTTATTTATATAGTCACTTAGAATGGGTACTAAGAGTTAATCAGGAATTTAAATAACGTCATTTTGTTCTTCATTTTCTGCTCTCCTTCCCAATTACAGCGTTACCACACAAAATGATTTTCAAGATCGTCAGAATTTCTTTAGATAGTTGACTCCCTTTATTTACTTCTTTCTCACCTTTTTCCATTTCATATGCATCAAAACGATCATGAAATCTTCTTCAGTAATTTCTCTGACCTGTCTCTCCATGTAAATATAAAATGCTTTTTCTATTGCTTCTATTGCTTGCTGTTATGCCTCTAGAAGAATCTGGAAGTTGGAGCAAAAGTTCTTTCCAAATTGCGTTTACACAGCTAACTGTACCCCAAACAACACTAAATCTTATGCTCATTTAAGGTATGAAAAGACCGTAGTAATTGTTAAAATATCTACCTAGGTTTAAATCTAAATGCTAAACATGTTTCTGATGAATTCCAGAAAATAATAAACTGTAAAGAGTTAAGTGGCAGAATTGGGTAATTTCTAAACCAAAATATATTTAAGTTATGAACTGGTCCGTAGACAAATTAGTATTAACTGTCCATGACAAAAATATTCTTAATAGTCCTTTTTAAGACATAAAAGATTTAAGCTTCCTAACCTGGATGTTAAAAGCTCTCTGAAAAACCTGTTGAGATTCTGCAGCCACTTCTAAAATTTCACGAACACGAAATTGTTCTAAAGGATTATAAATTCCAGAACCTACTTCAAGTAATACAGTAGAATTCGCATGTTGATAGATTTAAGTGAGAGATTTTCATCACTTGTCAATAATTACCTCGATGAAGCTAAATTATTGAAACTGTAAGTGAAAGGAACGAATTATTATCCTAATTTCATATTAAATGCATTTTCTGTCTGAAAGAATACATGCGTGTTGGAATGTTTTAATATTTTTAGATAGATATCTCCTAACTTTGTAATTCCAGTTGTTTAGAAATAAAATATATCTCTTTCTTCTGAATAATTTTTGGTTTGCAAATCGCTCTCAATATTGTAGCAGAGAGAGATTAAACATCGGAGCAAAACACCGCATGATATTGCTCATAACATACAAATTAATACTACTGTAAATAACTTAGATTTCCCATGCTTCTAGCTCAATTGAACGATTCCTACCTGCAGTGTGAAAACTCACTTCATTACAGTTGAGTAACTGAAAGAGAAGTTTGAGAAAGAAGATTTAGTAACCCTATTTTATATTAGAAAAATCTTGAACCTGGCTATGAAGTATTAACATTGAAAATTGAAATGGCGAGTTTACAAGATGAAAGCACACACTTGATAGCCTAAGGGATTTTAGATGTAAAATTGTAGAAATTTGTACATTTTATTTATCTTATAGAGTTCCTCACTATTATTCTGTTAGATTAAGTGTCGAGCAACTTCGTGCACAGCTAAGCGAATAATCGCTTAATTCCAAGAGCAGAAACATAAACTCAAGGCCCTGTATTTCACTCAAAATAAGATTAACCGTCGACTCAGGGCGTACAGCAAAGCCTCCCCTTGAGCTTAAAATGTAAGAAATAAGAACTAACGAATGACTAACTAAAGAGATTTAGCCGAAATCAACACTATTATAAACTAGTTGGCCATAATATTAAATTAGCCAGCGAAGCTATCAAAAGGCACGTAATACGGCTGAGCGTAGTAATAGCCAAGAAAAATGTAGCAAAAAGGCAAATGCGCACCACTCAGGAATACTAATTCTCTTTGTCGAAGTCAGTTGAACTTGACTTAAGTAATATTCTCATTTGCATTTAACGCGATACTAAAAATTCATTGTGGTAGGAAGTTGTAATCTCAAACAAGGAACGATAGGAAAGCAAAATTGAATTAAAATTACTGTTATAAAATTAAAATATACCTTACAATCTTAATCGACTTTTGTCTGTCTTGTGAAACAGTGAGAGTATGAGGAGCAAAATATTTGGTCAAGGAAGCCGATAGCCTAGAAAGATGCTGCTTTTTAGGCTTTGCTGTACGCCCTGAGAAAGCGGCCGACTGTTACTCTTATTTTGAGTGAAATACAGAGCCTTGAGTTTATGTTTCTGTTCTTGGAATTAAGCGATTATTCGCTCAGCTGTGCACGAAGTTGCTCGACACTTAATCTAACAGAATGATGCATCAAATGCAGCCTTTTAAGGAAAGACATGTAAATTGGAAATTAAGATACGTTGTGAAATTCCCCAATGCAGTACTCTGTGTAAATAATTTTAACAGACATCGATGTATCTGGAATGTTAGAATAAGACAAAGGTTTTCCAAAGTGTATCATAAATTCAAACATTTGTTTGCACGATCGAGATGCATTTTACACAGCATGTAAGCATGTGCTTTTCAGCACATGCTTATATGCTATGCAGGTATGTTAAACAGCATGTATTATCTTTAAGTTAGATATCCTTACTGGGATTCGAAACAACAATATCTTAAATGTCACCTGGAAGTACTACCTCTTATAATACGAAAGTATGCAGGGGGAATGTTGTGCAAGCATATTTTCATCGCAATGCCTTTTAGTGTTGCCGTAGAGCTAAACATATTGAATCTGTAACGATCTCTCTTAAAATGCTAATACTGCAAGATAATTCCGTTTGATAAATAACAGACGCTCCGTAATGAAGAACATTTACACTCTCGGATCCCTTTATGATAAATGGCGCTGACATAGAAACAAGATTGACTAAAGTTTAGAAATCTTCTTGGCAATCATAAACTGTAACTACACTTTAGACAGAATGGCAAAGAAGCATCGGAAAGTCTAAATAAAGGGCATTTATACCTTTCTCAAGTTTCATTTGGAACTAAACCCTTAGTCCTTAAAATTGAGAACTAAAGTCTTAAAAATCAGCTAACCACTTGGGGGGATGTAACTTATACTATCAGTCAGTCAAATGTAAAACTTAAATTATATAAGCTATTTAAGCGAAGTTAGCTCAATGTAACCGACTTGGAGATTCAATATCGATGAATGCAAGGCCGAAGACAACAAATATTATGTGATCTATCAACTTAGTAACTTGATCTCGAGAGGCAGAACACGCTCTATCTTACAATCCAAAATCCTAACCTTAAATACACGCGAACTAATATCCAATCATTTCTGGGCGAGAAAACGTAAGGGACATAAAGATGCAAAACATAAAATAACTGATTAATTAACATAAAGTTACACTGTCCTTGAAAGAAAAAATTGTCAATAGTCTCCTTCAGAAAACTGGAAATTTAACTAGAACTTCAGAAACTGTGGTAAAATCTAAAATTGATTGAAATCCCGTAGCTATTTCTTAAACTTTTCGAAGGTAAAACTGTTAGAGAAAATGATACATTTTAAGACCTACTGCAACTAATGTTCTAAAATTTCCATAATTAGAGCTTAAATGTAAGTTGTTCAGCAGAAGTGAACGCCTACTTCATTGCAATTGAATTATTAAAAGAGAGGTTTAACAGAAGACTAAGAAAATTTATAAATCCTGTTTTATGTTAGAAAAATCTTAAATATGGCTATTAAGTATTAGCACGAAACAAACTGATTTCACAAGAATTTGTGAACAGCAGGGAGATGATATTTAAATTTCGTTGGGTTTCTGCTCCCATTTTTAAAGTGGTAAGTAAAAACTGGATAAATATAAAAAATTCAGCAGTTTCAGAGATTGTTTTTTGCCATGATTAACTTCCAACTAAACCACGAAATAAATGAAAATCCTGAATAAAGTTAATTAATTCTCTTTTAATAAATGATATCCGTGTTCTCGCTACCATGTAAGAAAAATGTCGGTAGGTGAGAGAACGTAAAATTTTCTTAAGTAGCATATATCGCTTCTTTGAAATACGATATGTAAAATTTAAATATTAACTTAATCATTATATGAAATCTTTCAATGAAAGTCATTTTAATAGGATATGCTCATTGCAAAAGAAAATTTCTGCTATAAAATGAAAAGCAGATAAAAATAAACGTCCGTTCTCCAT